AAAAAAAACTTGATCTGCTTAATACTTATCTCTTTTTTTAGGTTCTTGGTCGATCCAGGAAATCTTGGCTTTTCTGTGATGATCTTCTGTGTCGAAGCGTTTGCCTGCATTACCATCATAGTACTCAGGCGAGGAAAACTCATTGGAGGAGAACTAGGTGGTCCAATGAAATACAGGGTAAGAAAGGGTCGCGTACCTCTTCGCCTCAATTTTCGATTTGTCGGTGTAGTAACAAAGATCAAAATTATGTCAGCAAGATTCTCTTTGTAGGTGCTGACATCGATGTTCTTCGGCACGTTGTGGCTGATCTACCTCACCTTATCGGCTCTCGAAGCCTACTGCATGTTGTAAATTCGTGTTTTGTAGGTAATGACGTCGACGTTCTTCGTCGCATTGTGGATCATCTACCTGGCTCTGTCAGCACTTGAGGCCTACTGCATCGTTGAAGGTTTTTAAGCGAAAGAAATAACTTTAGCCCAACACAGGATGGATCTTTTGCGAGCGGTCAAAACTTCGCTGCTCAGCGAGACTCTCCATATCGCTCTTCCATTCAGTTTCGCTTACAATTTTGCAAAGCCAAAGTGTCTTACTCTGGAAACGAAATCTCTTCCGCTGTTTTTGTTTTACTTAGGTTGAATAGAGAATTATATATCAAAGTACGTGTACGGCTAGTCGTGCAAGATTAATGCAATAATTGCTCTATTTCTGTCCTTTTTCTCAATTTTGATATTTGTTCTATTGGTTGCAATGGTGCCTTCAGAGATTATATTTTTACGAGATTTCTACACCATAGATTCACAATATTTTTGATTTTTATCTGAAAATTCTCGCGTCTTCCTACTTTCAGGTAACGCGCGCAGAACAACTTGTACCATTTTACGGGTTACAGCTTCCCGCTTCATCCTAACCAGCAGCTCCTAGATATCAAAAAATCGACCAACTAACCGTGTCTGTTTTGCTAGCCTAGCATACAATGCCAAATAGGTAAAGCGCTAATAAAACTCACTCCGTACACTCGCTAAGAAGGTTAGATGGGGATTGAAAGGAATCGTGAAAATGGTAAATGTTGACAATACTGCATTAACTCGAATTTCGGTGCTCCCTCGAGATATCTGAAACACTTTAGTACAAGTCATACCCAAACCCTCCCAGATTCGCTTAGTTGCCCAGTTCTTGTACTCTTCCTTACCAAGCATGCATATCTTTTATAGTAGTCAGCTCTGCTCATCAAAATATGAGCAGAATTCCAATCGCCCTCAGTTCAGGTTCTCGAACCTCTCTCTCCTACACTTCATTATTTTGTTGCAAATATTACGAACTCCCATCTCGCCTTTGCGTTTAATTTGTGATTAAGATTTATTGAATGAATATGTCATTGTATGTTTTGTTAGGAAAACATGTGCCTCGACAGCTAGAGTAACGATGCAGAAACGTAGCATAAATTTCCAGCTAATAATGTAAGTTCTCAAGATTACGTTTATTTAAGAAAACTGTTTTTGTCTTCCGCATTCCAAGAGTGCCAGTCATGCATGATGATTTGATAACGATAGCTACGGAGGTGCAGCATCATGTGGTTGCAGAAACTTCAATGGAGACCATTGGGGATGCCCATTGCTCGTAAAATACAATGCAGCTTTGTATCTCAAGTCTGCAATAGGGATCTATCAACTCTTTGTATCTGAGTTCTCCGATAGAATGTGTTTTTTTGAATACAGCTCCCCTTATCTCACTCGTTAGAATGGTGGAAAAGAACACTAGAGCTGTACGAGAAAAACGTGAAAATAGCGAATTGAGACGTTTTCAAAGAGATACGAATTTTGACAGTTTCACTTGAGGCATGTGAGTACAACAAATTTTATCAAGGGAGAGGTAAAGAGGGGGGAAGGCAACACTCAGCAGACCAATTCAAGGGCGTTGCCGGCGTCCATCTTAGGTCTGTCTCCAGTTTGAAGGCTTGAAAGCTGTTCTAGCGTAGCTGATTGATCACACAGCTTCCGAGAAGTCACGACTTGAGATGTACAATAGGATTGGAGTAAACTTAAAATAGGCGGCACTTTTCATCTGTTCCAAAGGTGAATTATGACCGATTTTTTGAGTTGTCGACAGAGCTGACTCAAATGATAACTTGTTTTGCCAGTACTTAGATGGTTCGAGGAAAA